ACAATAGCTTGAAAATGTTCCTCAGGTGTCGGAACAGAACGGCAATAAAGCTGTCAGTTGCCCAGCAAAAAACTCATTCAGAACACTTGAACTTTGACTCAAGCCGGACTCTTATCAGGGGTAAACATTAGCTTGCTTTTTGCCGAGCATCTCGCTGCTGCCACTCAGGGTGCCAGACGTCAAACAACAGCTAACATAATCTTCCACACGTGATATCGCGTATTGAACTTACGCTCTCATTTGCTAATGCCAAGATTACCACTAATTGCCGGGATATGAGATAGCTTTAAGCGCTTTCTGTAAATTTATAGCCGAGTCTATGCTCTGAATGTAAACTGAATGCCTGATGTAATCTGATTGGAATTTTAATTGAAAGAACATGGAATTTGTGATGGAGATCTGCACATTTCTGTTTAAATTGTTGATTTCAATTCACAACAGTGAAATGTGTTTGTATATATGAGGAGAGTAGACGAGCCGTAATAATATTTTGAAATAGTAATAGTACATGGAAGGAAGGAAATGAGAAGAAAAAAAGAGCAGAAATTTGAGTTTGATTACCGTACATAGCCCGTGGAATAGAAACTGATTCTAGAGACGAACGAAGTACAGTGTTGACAATATCCCCTTAGAAGTTTTTATTATTATTTAGTATGTTCATTACAATACGTCCCGCGTGATGAAGGTATAAAAACGCTCAGAGGAAATGACTGCCGATATTCTTAAAAAAGTCAAACTTTAGAAAAAAAGTTTACATTACTTTTCTGTAGATTCATTTTTTTTCGGGAAATAAATACTACGTTTATTATCTTATACCAGCGTTCTCAAAATAAATAAAAAACTTTAAAAGCTCATTCGGAACAAGGAATTTACTATTTCACCATAATATGAACAAATTTAAAGAGCGAGTTGTAGAAAAAAATCCTGTAAATGCAAGAGGTAAATGGCATGGGATTCGCCTAATTCGAAGTTGGGGAACAATGTGAAGGGGAAACGGTCTCGCGAGACTCGTTGCCGCAGCACACGTACAACGCCAGTCAATTCAAGCTGCTCGGTGTAATTATCACGAGTCCAAGTAACAGTCAGTAAACCATGACTCCTGCTTATCAAAGTCGTCTGAATATATTGTTAGAACCAGGCGTTCAGTGAACGGAGTTTCGCAACTCATTTGCACGCTGATAAAGAGAAAATTAGTAATTATAACTTCTTAAATCTCTACCAACCTTTGACAGAACAGTTTAAGATGGGACAGACAAAACATTGAAGGTTCACACACAACATTCACAACATTGAATAAACATGGCCGGAATTCATTCCATGCACGACTAGTTTCAAAAATATGATACCATTAAGCAGGTAAGTATTTGCAATCAGCCTTTGCATGGATGGCGCTATTTTTTACGAAACATAGGCCCTCGGATTGCATCATAGCAAGCAATAGTAACTCATCAGCTGTCTACGATCAATGTAAATTCATCAGATCATCAGGAAGAAATGACTATGCAAGGTAACCTACTACTGTGAATTTCAAGTTACATCAGGCGCCTCCGTGATAAAATCTTGAGGTTTGCAGAACGCGTATGTATGCAGTTTGTGTAACATTGTTCTAAACGAATAATGAAAGAATCCGGTGTAGTGAAGCCCTATCCTGATAGAGGGTTAAAAAATGAACCTCAGGCCCTCAGCTCCTACAATGATTGCCAATAAATGAAAGATTAAAAATTAAGAACGACGCGATGTTTTAAAAATTCACACCAAGCACCCGCTGATAGAATCTGCGTGCCGGCCAAGTTACAAAAACCCTCTACCTAACTCGCTCACCTCCCAGCGCGCACCGGCAGCCAGATGAGACGATGGACACACAACGTCGTATAGAAGAGATGCAGACGTAGCACCGAGAACTATAGAAATTGACGATGAGAGCTTCTAAGCCAGTGCTCTGTAGCTTGTTTGATTTTTAATGATCCGCTTATCTAAAGTTATGATTAGAAAGTTTTTTAGAATTTAATCAAAGAGATTATATAATTACACATTCCATCATGTATTTTAATTAAGCAAGTGTAGGAATAAAACAAATTACACGCAAGGTTAAGAAATATCAAAGAGTTCATGAAGTGTTTTTTGTATATATTTGCTTAGAGTTGCCGGAAATGTGCTAATTCAGTACGCGATTTTTCGTTTCAAATATACTGCAGTGCAAATAATTTTGCTATATTTTGACGTGAATTGCGTCATGACTCCGCCCTCCCCCCCTCCTTTTGACGTAAAACATCCGTTCCGTAAATTTGCGTTAAATATTTCATCAGGTAAGATTTCTGAGAGATTATTTTTGTACAGGCCGCAGATTATGAGGCAACTGCTAAGAAATTAACGTGGATGTAGGGATGCAATAGCCTTATTATCATGATTGCGGAGTCTTCCCGGAAACCTAGAAGGCAGGAGCGTTGTCTGGAGGAAGGTGTTAATCTGCGTTGCCGATAGAAGCAAACACACAAGAATGCACTGTAGGTCAGGTCACAGGCGTCTCCACCAAACTCATCATACCAGCAACCGGTGGCGTTGAAAGGTCCCTGCATCCTCATTTGTAATACTTTTCGAACGCTTCACTGATATCGGGTTTGCATGAACCTTGCTCAGTGCACTGCAACATACGGTAAAAATTATACGAATTTGCTATAAATAATGCATCACATCTCAACAATTCAAGTAAGTCTTCCCGCACTTCTTCATTCGACACGCAACGAAAACCCGAAAACGAACATTGTGCTTCCCACTTCTCCACCCTCTATACAAGATTAAAATATGCGTACCTACGCCTGCAATCCACTTCAGTGCGTTGCCCTCAATACTATGTAACGTACAGCATCCTCTTACATCTTGACTGTCAAAATCCCTTACCACGAAGATATATGCGCTACGTACACGCCAACAACTGGAAATATGCCAACAGACATAAACCAAGATCCACGGCGTATGCTTCACTACGACAGGTCGGCAGACTAGGCAAGTGAAGGCTCGGCTCAATACGAACACATCTGCATGGTGGTTTTACAAGAGTCGCTGCTTCGGCTTAGCAGCATACCAATCGAGCGCGTCGCGCAACACAACACGTGGGCAAAAAAAAATAAAATAAAAACGAATTCTCGCCCGGCAAACTGGAGCCCAATACCTAAAGGTGAGCCAAGACCGGTCTGCAGAGCTTGACTTGATCTAACTATGGACAGTCACAACATAAATCTTGGTAAATCTTCTTCTTGTATTTACATTATCATATGTGTAATTTAGATGTATAGAATGAACTTCAAAAACGTTATAGTCGTACATTACATAAAAATTAAACAGTACCGATGAGATAGTCCAAGCACGATTTACAAATCGTGTCTGAGGACAGTCACCTCACCCTTAATAATATAAGAGCAACAAATTAGCTGAGAACAGCTCATAGTACACGGAATATACAGCATGTGTCATCAATCACGATGAAGTTTGCACTTAGCGGCTATCAAGTGAAGTGCAATCGATTTGTACAGCCCAAAAGAGGAAAGAAAGCTCGATGAACACGAGTTTAGAAGCTCCACGGAACACATTTGATGGATTGTACACTCTTAATGAACGCTATTAGAAATGAGCTGTTACTAAAACAGCTTTAAAGAAATAGTGTCACTATAAATCTACAATAATACTTGGATGATAACTTCAACCTTAATTCTTCAGTGTATAATACATCAACATCTGTTACCTAATGTCAGTGAAATAAGTAAAGATGGCAATAAATTTTCATGTGCTTTTATGTTTGGATTGTCAACATGTCACATGTGCTGACAGACTCAGGCTTAACTCAACCTCTATTAAATTCCATGATTTTTAAAACTATTGGCAAGTAAAATATTTGTTTGAAAACCACTTGAGTCTTGACTACTGCAAAGTAAGTGATTAGGTCCAGCTAGGTTCGGCATCGCCTTCATACGAGTAGTACGTACCTACATATATCCCTATACTCCAAGATCAATGCCAGTACGCATTGGAAGGGATGTCTATAGATATTATAAAAGTTTGGTTGAAGTAACTTGAAGACCAGAGCATGCTTTTTATTAATAATCTTCTTATTCGTTTTTAACAAAATTTCTTGTTGCCTGCTGGCGCCGGGAGATCAAAAAGTAGGTTTCCAAATGACATTTTAATAGATTGCGAATTTCGAAAATACAATTTTCATTATCAAGCAGGTGAAGGTTTTTCAACACTTGAAATTGAATTTTGGAAATGGCAGCAGTACATATCAATGGTACTATAGTGGATACAATTTAAAATAGGTTAGCTTTAAAATTACTCTGAAAATAATTTCAGCGTCCCGACGAATCCTGTAGTTTGGAGGTTGATAGCTGGAGACTCGCTCTTGATAAATAAAGATATAAGATATAATTTATAAAGATAAGATATTATAAAAAAACACTTGAATATTATTGGATTATTGGTAAGGAATTTATTCGAGCAAACTAACGTAGCAATATATTAAACTAAAGCAATTACTACCGGTACGTTTCTCTAATGCAGGTGACAGAGAAGCCGGCGATTGGCTTGACCAGCGGCTTTTCTGTCACAAATTCGAATTAGGTACCCGCAACCGTTGAAATTCGGATATTTTTTCCGCGTAAATCAGCAGAAAATCGATAAGTAGGAGTAGGTTACGTAAGAAATAACCGCAACGAAGGGTTAGACAAATTGTTAACAGCAAATTTTACGTTGCATCATTCCCAGTTTCAATCAAATTCTATTGATAACTTATAATACTTAACAAATCGAATTCAATGCAGATTAATTCATTGGATGACTCATTACACAATTCCTAAACACATTTGGATGATGTCTTTCAGAGACTTGAGTTCTGAAAGTTAAGGGGTAATCTTCATATCAGAAGATTGCCATTAATTCCATGTAAAGATGAATCAAAAATCATTGAAAGGATACAAGAAATCGAAAGTAAATTAAAACTAGATGCATACCTGCTCCAAGGACCAGAAGGAGGCTCAGCAACGCAGCGTAGCTCTTCATTTTTATCTGACACTTTTTCGATTATCAAGTATTAAAAAATCAGTATTCAAATTTCCTTAAGAAAAACTGGATTTGAGAGTAGAATGGCACAAAAATTTCAATAATTCCGTATAATTCCCAAAGCGTTACGAATTAAATAAAGTTGCAAACAATATATTTTAAATTTGGAATAATCAAAATAATCGTCAACACTAATCACAGTTCGGAGAGGCTAAACGTAGGGAACACACGCGACGATCTCATCACCTTACGCTCGCTACTCGCACACTGACTAAGGAGAAGCAGTGAAGCACAGTCACCGCGGCTGCCGAGGTCGCCAGTGACTAAGGCGGGGGCTTGAGCACACGTTCAATTTAGGACGGACGATCGAACGCAACTGAAACGGCTAAGGATAGCCTGTGACCTTGATAAAGCATATCTCTTTAAACAACCAAGCAGGCTTATAGAGAGCATAGCAGCAAGATGTTTATAAGTGAAATGAATTATCAGCATCGTCTTACAAGTCCTCATTTATAAGAGTGAACGTAATCATGAGAAGGATGACAAAAATATAAGATTGAGAAGTGACGTCATTGAAGTGACGCGGCAACATGGGCTGCAAATTGTTCACTTTGCTCCGAAGTTTTACTATAATCATAACTATGGGTTTCACAAGGATTCTAGACGACATAACATTGCATCACGAACGGTTGTAAATTAGCTGGAAATGTGCTATCTCTATAATTTTTGCGGTTATCTACTGACACCAACCTCCGTGTGTCGTGAATACGGATTCGCATGATGAGGTGCAGTTGGGAGCCTTAAGATACTTGTTTTCCTGTGTCATCAAAAAGTTTATAGTTTAAGTGTCATATTAATCAAAATCTGTCCGCTATAGTAAGGCCCTTCCTTCGAAGAAAAATTAACCGCATAAGATTTTGTAGATGAACGTATTCGAGATTTATTTGAAGCATTTTGTGTTGATTTAAAGAAAAATGATAAATATTCGGCGAAAACTTTGTTCAGTCAAATTATTTAAACACCCGAACTAAATGTTTCCATTGGATGGTAGTCATTTTGAGCGGGCCAAATATCTGTTGATTGATGTATGGAAAAGGAATAGGATTTCTTTTTAGCAATGATGAACATAATTGCAGGAGCAGCAAAATCTAATATTAAAAATCTCACCTAAGAACCATTAATTTTTACGCTTAATGTAACTAATGAAACACCAAGTGCCGACTCACCGTGAACGTTCAACAATTCTCGTGTAAATCCAAAAGCTCACCGTTTACATCCAACTACTCACCGTATGCATCCAACAGCTCATCTTTAACATCCAAAGTTTCCTATGTGCGCCCGGAGTTTCACGGTGCGCATCCTAAACCGTGCACTGACCTACACCATTTTTGAACGATCTTGCTAGAGCATCGTCAAAGATTGTCTTCTGGCCCCTCTTTATGTGAAAAAAATATAACTCGGTACTCACTGCAGTGAGTGACAAAGAGCGCATTTTCTCGTCGACGAAAACGTGAAATCACGGACAGATGGACAGCCGGACAGACAGACGGACATGACGAGCACAATAGCGCCTTTTTTCTATAAATGAGAAAATGCGCTAAAAATATCTTCTGCGACACCACCGACTTGTCATTGTTGCTAAAGATAGGGTGTGCCTCTATGCGTATGATTAAATATTGTTGTACACCGCGCCTTTCTCTATTGCATAGTATATGTACCGCGCCTTTCTCTCTGCACTTTCTGAGCGTGCAAGAATGAACGCAATTTAATTCATTTCATTCCAATAAAGTTTGACCGAATTACCTCATGTTCTGCGATCATCTGAAATTTGGGTTGCCCGTTGCTATTCATAGGTGTGATATGCATTGATATTGTAAATCTGATGGGTTCACTGATAAATTGGTTGATGGATTGAAGGACAGATTTACGCTGTCGAACCTATTAATTAAGATTGTGACCTTGTGACCTCAATTAACAGAAATAGAAACAGAGTCGTGAATTTGAGTAACCAATGCGGTGTAATTGAAGGTTCCGACACCTTGAACTTAATAATTTTCAGTCAGTTTAGGAATAACCACATCAATAATTAAAAATGCGATCTCACAAGAATTTGTTTAATTAAGAACCCGCGATATTTACATCTTGATTATTGTAACTTTATCATTTGACTATAATCGACTACGAATGTGGTATAAGCGTGAATGTCCATTTCCTATTTTGAGCTTAGGAGCATTTTAGACAATTGTTATACATGGGACATAAGTGAAATGTTGCTAATAAACTGGGTCAATTAATATTTACTTACCTAAAGTTCCACTTTATTTATTGATGATTTTATTCTTTATGGATGAATTATTTGTTCTTTATTTATGATGATTTAGTGCATCTTTACCCATTTGAAAATATTCGATTGTTCATCGATTGTTTTTGTATTTTTTCAGCTTACATTGTTAAGAATTTTTTGGTTACTAAATAACAAATTTTCAGTGTATAAATCTCACAACTAACTCGGCCGTATACAACTCAACACAACTGTGTAGATTCAACTTTAAATGTAGAAACATATAGTTTAGCAATTGAATTCTGCTTTATTCTAATGTTTAACAAAAACAATTATTTTGTCATCAAATTTTTAAATTGATTTCACTTATATTCATTGTTTAGGACTGGAAGTACAAGTGCGTCCACTCGCACATTAAGGTAGTAAACTAAATAAGCCTGCATCTGATAATACCATGGGATACTTCTAGGTAAAAAAAAACTTTTGCAAGTCTTTCAATTTTAAAAATAAGCGAATACTTTTCTCTAATTAAGTATTGTCAGTTGTCACAGTTATGCAATATAAGGAGATAAAGCTAAAAATGAATTCAAATTTTATCTTGGTCAACATATATACGACGCCAATCAGTTCCGACTGAGTCTCACCTATATGATTACATTATTTATAGCATATTACGTCAATTTTTGTATCAATTTTATCTCAAAATGAACTTGATTGGACAAAGATTTCATGTTTGCTATCATTCTCGCATTTACAGTAAACATGAGTGAACAGATTTGTTCTAGCCTCTCCAGAAAACTCCTATACCATCAGTTTGAGGGGCATGTGTCTTCGTAATAAGGATAATATTTTTTTAGTATTCACAAAGTTTTTCACATTGTATTTTATAAACGGATTATGAATAATGCGCATTCAGCAAATAATACGAGGATCTGCTGAAGAAAATAAGAAGAGAAACCTGCGCTAAAGAACTTATACTGCACTTATAAAAGCACCAAATGTTGAAAATAGCGTGAGGAATTGTAAATGGAGAAAAGAGCGTGATGAATTCTATCATTAATTAGTACGTTTCCAAATTTAATCGATGGGCATATAGATATGATACAAAACGACTGCAAAAATGCAAAATTTAACACTAAAACAGCAAAATCCTCTTAATTAAAGTCCGACTAGCAGCTTTATCAGATCTCACGAATTTGATTCCAAACTTCTATGTCGCGGATATTAAAAATAAAATATCCCTCAAATTCTTTTCCTTTTATCACCAAAAGCATAACTCGTTTAATCAGATTCCAGCATCTAGCTGAGCAAACGTGATTAATTCAATAAGTTTCCGTTTCAATAGAACGAATAATTTTCACGCTGTTGGGTACATGGCAAAATGGATAAAATATTTCCCCCGAGATTGGATGGAAATTTGTGGAATTTGTCGCTGCTGAATTTGCATGTTCTGGTGACAGGTGGAACGAGGTATGGAGGAGGAAGTGGACTGGTCATATTTATGGGAAAATGAATGACATTGTAAGGGGAGAAGCATGCAATAGGGAACCACATGAATAGATAAATATTTATTGAATATAGATGAATTATAGATGAATACTATATTTCATATGACGGACCGCTTGAATATTTGTGAAAAGGAATAGCTAAAAAATGTACATCCAATTATCAGCCATTTGTGATCAAAGAAAATGCCTGCTAAAAGTCAAAGATATAGAATAATTACGAGGGTAAACCCTCTTTATATATGGCGCAAAGTTAACAAGTAAATATGATGTACACAAATTTTTATGCTTTAAAATAATACTTGTAGGAGTGAGAGAGTCTGTCACCTAAGAAAAAATACAGGGAAAAATATTGGCAATGCTGTAAATTTTGAGCCTTGGTTTTTCTTCGTTTTATTACCGTTCATTTTATTACCCAATTACATAGACCAGAGCTTCGTGGAAATTTTCTTCGGGTGAATGCCTAAACTTAAATTAATGACAAAATTAAAGTTAAATTTCGGATAATTTCATTTTAAATTACAGTTTTTCTAAAAAGTGTGATAAAATTTAAGATTTATGTGACTCTTTCATGTCATACTTATATAAATCAAGTAAAACGGAGCCCATAGATAAAGAATTATATTATTTCTCGACGAAATCCTTCAAATTGCAGCATAATTCACAATCAGACGCAAATGCTCGATGAGACGAATGCTCATCCCAGCCTCAACGTTGGCTGGGTGAAAAACTTAGCTCACTCTTTATGGAAAAAACATAAAGAGATGACATTCATTACGTTCATCACGTGACGAAAATTTACCAGGAATTTAAAAGCAAAGACAATACCGACAAAATTCCCCATATCTTTATGAGAGAAAACGTTTCGGAGTCCAGCTCCATCGTCAGTTTCATACCACAAAGTTCAGTTCAGAAGAAGTTCAGTCCTAGAAACACAATTACAATCAATTAGTAAAGTAAAAACCCCTGTCATGTATTAAAACGCAAACGACAGCTTGCGTAGAACTTGAATTTTGGATTTAGCGGGATAGTCATTAATATCACGTGACAGAAGTTTGTGTTATTCACAAGGTTCACTATAGCGGGACACTCGCAGTGACCATCGCGTGACGGAAGTTTGTGTTGCTCATGAAGTTCACTATAGCGAGACAGTCGCAGTCACCATCACTTGAGGGAAGTCTGTGTTATTCATATAATGAAATCAGCAGAACTGTATTGAAAAACGTAACAAAATGTGTCTCTAATGTATGTTCTTGATACATTTAACAATTTGATCGAGGAGAAGGAGTTCTCTATGTCCTAAACGCAGGGGACGAAAGAAGGACAGAGCAGCAGTATCTTACTGCAGGGCAGGACGTGAGGGTATAGGACAGTTTCAGTATCCGGCACAAAGGACAGGCACCGAGGGTGGGGTTGGCAGGTCGTAAAGATCCTGGCGGGCTATTTGTGTTTTAAGGCCAAGCAAGGCAGTCCAGACATGCAGGGTATTTTTTCTG